AGCCCTTTACCAAAATGGGCTTTTTAAAAGAACCTGCTCTGTTCTTGGGTTTGGTTATATCCTAGATTGCACGTTAAAGATGGATTGATTAGACATATCCATATAATTCAAAAATAATTATTCAAATGTGACTTAATTGATAATCGCTGGAGAAACTGACTAATGTCATTAAGTGTGAAGGAGTACTGGCCAGCATGTAGTCCAGTACTCATGCCACATGTATTTTCAAGATATGAGCTTTTCTGAATTTCTAATTAAAAGTTTTCATCAACTTTATTGGTGGGAATTATAGAAAACTAAAGGGGTCTGAATCTCTAGATCCTTGCTCTCTTATTTTAAAAAAAGAAACACGTATATATGTGTGTGTGTGCGTGTGCGTGTGCGTGTGTGTGTGTGTGTGTGTGTGTGTGTGTATCTGGGCTTTATCTGAAACAGGTCCCTTTTTGAGATGACTTGCCTCAGCTTGGTAGTTCTTATGTTCCTTCTAGGTAGCTTATATTTCAAAGACAAGTGAATTGAGTTTCCTTTAAAAGTACAAGTTCAGATCTGAGTCCATTATTCCTCTCTATACCAGACTGTTTTTTTAAATTTGACTCTTAGTATCTGAGTCCTTCTTCATTTAACTGGAATGCCCATCTTATTCTCTGTAGTTTGAATATAATGTTGAAGGAGTAACTACCAAGGAAATGGCTACCCAACTTGCCTTCATGCGCCTGCTGGCCAACCATGCCTCTCAAAACATCACCTACCATTGCAAGAACAGCATTGCATACATGGATGAGGAGACTGGCAACCTGAAAAAGGCTGTCATTCTGCAAGGATCCAATGATGTTGAACTTGTTGCTGAGGGCAACAGCAGATTCACTTACACTGTTCTTGTAGATGGCTGCTCTGTAAGTAATAGTGAAGTATGGGAATAACATTTATTTGGGAAGTGGGATAGTGGAGCATAGACCATTAAATGAACAGATGAATGAGAGACCAAACTTATTTGATTTCTCTTTCATAAATGTATTTGTTTAAATTCAGATGGTAAATTCAGAATATTCTTATCAGATCTTGCCTTCTGAAATTTTCTGAAATACTGAAATATATACTCTGTTCCATGTATTAGTTATTTGTCTTCTAACATGAGTTTCTTAAATGATGATGTATACCCATAACTTAAAATTACTTGAGGTTAAAAGGGCCCAAACTGTAATTTATAGTTATATGTATTTTATTTTATTTATTAGTATGACCTATATTTAATTTTTCTTTATGCCTTCTCTATAATATACTATAAATTGAAGAAAATTTAAATTCACTAATAGTAGTACTGCATAGCCACCCTACCACACACATCCTGAAAAGATACTGTAGAAATAAGCCGCTTGGAATATGCATTGGAACGTTTTTTTTTTATAAAATTAGACTGGTAGGAAACCTCTCCCTGTAAAGACAGCCCTGATGCTACTGTTTCAAAGATACACTTGTTGATCTGAGACACACATCTTCAGAAGGACATAAGCCAAAAAGTGGTTATTATAATATCTAGTATATAATATTATATAACATATAATTATATATAAATATTATCTAATATATTATATAATTATATATAAATATATGTTCTGTATAATTATATATTATATAATACAATTGTATGCAATATATAATTATATAATATTATACAAGATGGTTAGGTTCCGTAATAGTGCTGCTTTATGTATATTTTTCTTCTCTTTTTAAACAGAAAAAGATAAATGAATGGAGAAAGACAATCATTGAATATAAAACAAATAAGCCATCTCGCCTGCCCATCCTTGATATTGCACCTTTGGACATCGGTGGCGCTGACCAAGAAATCAGATTGAACATTGGCCCAGTCTGTTTCAAATAAATGAACTCAACCTAAATTAAAGAAAAAGGAAATCTGAAAAATTTCTCTCTTGGCCATTTCTTTTTCTTCTTTCTTAACTGAAAGCTGAATCCTTCCATTTCTTCTGCACATCTACTTGCTTAAATTGTGGGCAAAAGAGAAGAAGAAGGATTGATCAGAGCATTGTGCAATACGATTTAATTAATTCCCTTTCCCTTTCCCCCTCTCCAAAAATCTGGAATTTTTTTTTTCAACAGTCTTAAACTTGTTGTGGAAAATGTCAACCTTTGTAAGAAAACCAAAATAAAAATTGAAAAATAAAAACCATGAACATTTGCACCACTTGTGGCTTTTGAATATCTTCCACAGAGGGAAGTTTAAAACCCAAACTTCCAAAGGTGTAAACTACCTCAAAACACTTTCCTGTGAGTGTGATCCACACCATTAGGTGCTGACCTAGACAGAGTTGAGCTGAGGTATCTGTTTTTTGTTCAAAATACAAAGGTGCTAACTAATAGTATTTCAGATACTTGAAGAATGTTGATGGTGCTAGGAGAATTTGAGAAGAAATACTCCTCTGTGTTGAGTTATATTGTGTATTTTTTTTTCATTTGATTTAACATCAGTACTTTACATCTTATTCCCGAATAAAAGTAAGTGGATCGTTTGCCCAACATTGTCCTCTTCTTTAAATTCAGCATTTGTTCTTTGCCAGTCTCATTTTCATCCTCTCCCATGGTTCCAAAGAAGCCTTGTTTCTCGGACAAGCAGAAAAATTAAATTGTACCTATTTTGTATATGTGAGATGTTTAAATAAATTGTGCAAAAAATGAAATAAAGCATGTTTGGTTTTCCAAAGAAAATATTGAGTAGAATTCCTTGCTTCAATGCTCTTTGCAGTATAAATATGGATTATAGCATCTCTAACCAGCCATTAGACCAAGTATTTCTCATTAGATAGGAACTATGCAAAAAGGGCAGTTTGGTATGGTAGAAAGAGCGGAGAACAAGGACCCTGGAGATCTGAGCTCCAATTCTGGCTCAGCTCCTTCTGGCTAAATGACCTTGAGTGCTTTACCTTTCTGAGTTTCAGTTTATCTATAACATGGGGAAGATTCCTTCTCTGAACTGTTAAACATTTGCCCTACTCAAAATACATAATACCTAAGCAACGTGGCAATTGTTGACCTAAGTTTATTCTAAGTAGAGGTCCATAGAACTTTTTGGTTTATTATCCATTAAGCACTTTGAAACAGTGGCTGAAAGTTGGTCTATGCACAATTAATACTATTAACTAAAACAGTTTCAAATATTCAGTAAAAATGCCATACACTTAAATCTGATGCAACTGAGTACAATGCCTGTTAAGAGGTAATGTGTGTGCTGTCAATCAGCACAGACAGTTGTGGATAATAGTACCATGAACACCTACCTGTCAAATCAAGTTCATTTTCCCCCCTGCACCTTTCAATGACATCTTTAATACACTTAAACATAGTAATGTGTCAAGTATAATCTTAAGATTCATTTAGAGCTTATTTCCTGTTGCAGAACATAATTGTGATTGTAATATTTGCCTCCTGTTATAAGTCATCTCGAGATTCAATTAGTTTTTAAAGCAAAAGACTGAACATGATAAAAATCTAAAATTAACTCTAAAAAAGTTAGCAAGGTCTGCTAACCAAATGGTGACTTCAAATTGTGGTCCTTCCACCACTAAATCAGAACACTAGAATGCTTATTAAAATGCAGATTCCCAATCCTCAACCACCAAATTAAGATTTAGTAAGGAATCAGTATCCTTTTAAGCACCTTGAAAAATTCTGACATGCACCAATTGGGAAACCACTGGATAAGGTGATTTCAACAATCCTTTGTAGTTTTAACATTTTATGTCTGGCAAGAACGAATCAATATACCTAACCAAGCAACATAAAACTGAACCTCTGGGATCAGAGTACTAGTACTCCCCACAAATTACTAATTGAAACAGCCAAGACAAACTTACATAATAACCAGTTAGAAATCTCTGGATAAAGCATATGCTATGCCCTCAGGCTCGCAGTACAAGAACAAACCATAAAGTTGATAAAGTTGGTATAAGGAAGGGAGAAAGAGAAGGAAGAAAACCAACATTTATTGAGTACCAACTACGAGCCAAAACTATGCTACATGTTAGTAATGACTTTTGTCAAACTGTATCCAAATAGGCAGATTTCCTAAGCAAGCAGTCACTTAATAATCACTGAATCATCCTTATGAGATAGTATAGGAAAATAGTTAAATAATGATATATCTGATAGATAACAATAAGGAAATAAATGATAGAATATCTAATAAATACTAATGAGGAAAAAATAATGATATATCTAACAGATAATAATAGGAAAATAGTGAAATAAATTTTTGTATCTCAATAACATTTACGAGGATAATTAAACAAAAGAAAAAATGTAATAGAATGTTACAATCTTTAAAATATAATATTCAAGCACACTGTCATTAAAAATATTTTAAATGCAATGTAAAAATACTGAGTAGGTACATTTATGTAGTAATGATAGAAATGATTTTTATGTCTTAATTATCCAAATCTGCTATAATGTAGTTATATTACTTTTATCATTTACAACAAATTTACTCTTAAAATATCATGAAAAGAAATAAGCAGTCACAAGTGAAAACAATCCTGGTTGAGGAGTGACCAACTCCAGGGGAAGGGTGGTCACCCTCCTGCCCACCCACTTTCTGAAAGAGAAGGAAAATCCTAACCTAAGAGTCATCATTCACCATGTCCCAGCCACTCTGGGGGACATTGGGGAGGGGTGTACAAAGCCATACCAGGCAGCAGCATCCTCAGGGATCTCGCAGCTCAATTGCAGAGAGAGAATAAAATAATGCCTGAACACAATTTTAAACGAAGTGTCCTCTGAGGATAGCAGAGGACACTATTAATTAAGGAGATGGAATCCCAGGAAATTGACCTTAGCCTCATGCAGTAACAGTGATATTTGGGTTGAGCTGGCCAGCTCTTGCCAGAGATCTCATATCACCTTCTAGCCTTCTGTCTGGCTAAATGTTTCTTTTCCAGAAGCCACATATTAGAACAGTCTGGTACTTACCAAGACAGGAGGTCCACTGTTAGTGTTTCCAGGGCCTGGGCAATGTCCTGAAGTCTTGGCCTTTGAACGGCAGGTCCCCTCTTCAGAGGCTAATCACCAGACTCAAGGGAACCTCCTCATAACATCTCCCGACCCTTGGTCATGTGAAGGTCAGCTGCCTCTAACTTGTGTTACTGTGAGAGGGAAGAAGATTGCACATGAGAGAGTTGAAGGAGCTAGGTAGCCAAGATGAGGGGAAGAGATATTAATGAAGTCTGGTAAAAAGGGTCATTTAAAATTCTAAAGTCAATACAGCTAATGCACTGGCAAAGAGCAAAGACACCTGAGCAATGCTGAACACATTTATTATGTTTAATGCCAAAAGACTTTTTTATGCTATTCCACTTAATATCACTGAAAAGGAAGTTCAGAAATTGGATTATATGTAAGAAAAGTTGGAAATGTCATTTTGGGTCAGAACAACAATCCATCTAGATAAGTACTTTGCCTTTGACAGTGGCACCAGGGGAAATTTGGGAGAAGCAGTGGTTGGCACTTCCCATGAAGCCAGCCTCAAAACTCCCATTTAATAACCCATTGTAAATCTTTTTTGTATATAGATGTATCTAAACCCTTCCAGAGCCCTCTATCTGTTTTGAAATATGTTGGTATTACAGTACCAACAGGAGAGAGCTAATGCTCAATTGTTAGCTCAGCTTCCTGGCCCTCTGATCAAGGAGCTAAATATGTTTTCTATCCCTGTGCCTGGATCAGCCAGGGATTCAACAACTCAGTGGCCTGGGGGGAGCACCAGCAACTGCAACAATGGGGCCATAGACAGCCCATAATGATTGACTTATCCCTGCAGTTCAATGAAATGAGCATATAATTTGTGGTTGGCAGCCAAGGTTATGCGCACCAGCTCCACCACCGACTAGCCACGGGCCCTTGGGAAAGTCTCTTAAGTTTTCTGAGAATTTGGTTAACATACCTGCTCTCAAGAGATTTCCATCAGCATACCTACTGTGCCTATCTCACAGAACCACTGGGAGGACTAAGTGGGGCATATGTGAAAGTGCTTAATGAAGTGTAGGCAAATGTTACCTGTCATCATTAGGTCTAAAACTTCCAGTCACTTGTAATTTCCTCTTGATTTAAGTTCCTATCCCTGGCCCTCCAGTTTAGGGAGAGGAGAGACTAGAATTTAAATTTAATTAGCACCATTCTCGAACTGGTAGTCTATCAATTTTGAGTTGTGCCTCCCTATCAGTAAAAATGTGAGCTCTTACAACTAATTCTGTTAATCTATTTATATGTAAATGCTATATGTGTACTGTTGCACTAATGTATTATGTGCAATATAAAACCTACATGGAAAAAAATGTTAAAAGACAGAAAATAAATACAAATAGAAAATTCCACACTCCGTTGGACCATCTGGCACACACCTTGGCATGTATCACCTACCCACCCCCATTTCAGAGACTATTGCTCTAAACAGGACTCATGGTGGGCTCCAGGGGAGAACAGGACATCAGTGAACTCCTGAAATAGAGTGCTAAATTTTGTGTGTGTGTGCATATTTATTGGAAAAGGGTCCACAACTTTCTTCAGCTAAGCCAAGGGGTACATGACCAAAAAAGATGTTATAAACCAATAACCAAAAGAAGTACTACCCACTTCATTAAACCTGGACTTTTCTGAACTAGACTTTCATAGCTCACCTTGGGTCTCATACTCAACACGCTGCTTCTCCTATCCTAAGACCCAAGAGAATGAACCAACAATGGCCCAAATTAAAATAGAGGTTTGTCATTCATTCTTTCACTTCGCTGCTATAGACCTCTATCCTATGCTTTAACAAGTCTTCGCACATGCTTTATGACCCAGCCTTATACTCTGCAACATCAAAATGCACCTGTCCACAGAACTTCTTCAAATGAGGACAAAGTCAATAATGGAGATCAATTAATGAGTTATGCCTTTTAGGTAAAATATGCAAATGTAAGTTATATATTTTTTTTTGAAAAAAAGAAGTTTTAACCTAAAAGGGATTAAAAATCTGGGCACTATTAGAGGTTGTAAGGACAGTAATAGGAACATGTTTTTCAGGGACCCTCAAATCACCTCTTAGAACCAAAATGTCTCCTCTTCATCTGGCTGCTCCCAAGCAGAGCTATTATTCTGAGTCCAAGGTGTAAGAGTAATCTTGGCCAGAATTAGCAATCCTAATGGATGCTAGAAAGGTATCTTTAAAACTACAATTCACTACATATTTAAAGATGTACTTTATTATTACTAATCATAAACACTAAATGTACTTTTCTGCTAAAGTAAATATTTTTCTGCTGCAGCATTGCTGTTGGTGTCCACTGAATAATTAACCATAAACAGCATGGAAAAAAAACAGAAACGATTTTTTTTTTTCATGGAATCTATTAATGCCAGGCAGGATAAGAACACTCACTCACAAACCACTGTGCTGAGTGGATGGCCTTTCTCTCCCTACTGGATGTCACTTCAAGTTCACTGCTCCCCCTGCTGACTGGATAATAGAACACCCCAGTCTTTTAACACTGCCACATGCACAACATCAGAGAATGAAAACTCGGATTTAGGAGGAGAAAATAGAACAGTTTCCTGTGCTTATTTCCTGTCTGCCCCAGACACACAGCCTTCTTTCCAGATGGAGAGATAGTGTCCATAGTGGTCTACCTTATGTCCTCAATGCTCCCTTTTTTTAACTTACCCTCTCTAATCTATCCTTAATATCTCTCTCATAGAGCTAATAAATGGAAGTCCCAAGGAGAAAAACATAAAGCTCAAAAGGAGAATGGCCTTTTGGGTGAGCAGTGCTGCCCAATGCTGCAAATGTTGCCCCCAAATACCGTGAGTAATCCTTCAGGATTTAAGCAAGAGGTTTTAAGGATTATACGGAACAGAGAGAAGAGGATGTGCCAGAAAGAACAGGAGCTTAGTAAGCTGAGCTATCTGGATTTAAATCCTGTCTCCACCATTTCATCATCCATAAAATGGTGATAACGATGGCACTACCCATCGGACTGTTAGGATCGGAAGCAGGAATGCATAGCAGCTTGTGAGGTTGGTGTAGAGAAAGTACCCAGCACCACTGTTATCATTATCCCTACAAGGCTGGATCTTCGTGAAAGCCCCCCCCCCTTTTTTTTGAATTTTATTTTATTTATATTTTTATACAGCAGGTTCTTATTAGTTATCCATTTTATACATATTAGTGTATAAATGTCAATCCCAATCTCCCAATTCAACACACCACCACCAGCCCCCACCACTTTCCCCCCTTGGTGTCCATACGTTTGTTCTCTACATCTGTGTCTCAGTTTCTGCCCTGCAAACTGGTTCATCTGTACCATTCTCCTAGGTTCCACATATATGCGTTAATATATGATATTTGTTTTTCTCTTTCTGACTTACTTCACTCTTTATGACAGTCTCTAAATCCATGCACGTCTCTACAAATGACCCAATTTTGCTCCTTTTTATGGCTGAGTAATATTCCACTGTATATGTGTACCACATCTTCTTTATCCATTCGTCTGTCAATGGGCATTGATGGGTGGCATTGGGTTCCCTCCCTGTTTGTTGTTTGGCCTCAGGCGACCCAACACTGGAACCTACCTGGGCTCTGTGGTAGGGCTAATGGTGAACTCTGGGAGGGCTCACACCAAGGAGTACTTCCCAGAACTTATGCTGCCAGTGTCCTTGTCCTCACAGTGAGACACTGCCAGCCCCCGCCTCTGCAGGAGACTCTCCAACACTAGCAGGTAGGTCTGGTTCAGTCTCCTATGGGGTCATTGCTTCTTCCCCTGGGTCCTGATGCACACACTACTTTGTGTGTGCCCTCCAAGAGTGGAGTCTCTGTTTCCCCCAGTCCTGTCGAAGTCCTGCAATCAAATCCCGTTAGCCTTCAACGTCTGATTCTCTAGGAATTCCTCCCCCCATTTCCAGACCCCCAGGTTGGTAAGCCTGACGTGGGGCTCAGAACCTTCACTCCAGCGGGTGGACTTCTGTGGTATAAGTGTTCTCCAGTTTGTGAGTCACCCACCCAGCAGTTATGGGATTTGATTTTACAGTGATTGCACCCCTCCTACCATCTCACTGTGGCTTCTCCTTTGTCTTTGGATGTGGGGTATCTTTTTTGGTGAGTTCCCGTGTCTTCCTGTGGATGATTGCTCAGCAGTTAGTTGTGATTCTGGTGCTCTCACAAGAGGGAGTGAATGCACCTCCTTCTACTCCACCATCTTGAACCAAATCCTTCCCTGAAAACCTTTAACTACATTGCTAAGAAAAGTAATCACCTTTCTACAGGTACTATCTTCTCTGACAGCAGTGGCCTAAAACGGCAACACGTCTACAATTCAACTACTACACTTCAATTTTTTCTACCACAAATAGATTCTAGCAAACTTCCAAACCCTCACAACTTTTGGTGAATACTTCTCCACAATCCAATTTTTTAAAGTACTTTTATCAAAAGCTTGAAAATCTTTTCAATTTTTTACAACAACAACAACAAAATAATAATTTCACTCTGACAGTTAAAAAAATAAAAGAAGTAAAATTTCTGACAAATAGAACAAACTTGCATTTAATTGGTCTCTGCCCTATGCCATTAGGTTCTTCCAATTTTTGAGAGAAAGTTTCTGAGCATAGAAATGGCCCTTTTGCTCATTCGGAAGCCAGCTTTTCTACACAAATCGGCTATAACTCATACATGTTGAATTATCCAAACTTCTGACACTTAATTTTCACAAGTTGATTTTCTAAAACTTTGTCTCTGGCAGTGGAAATCCTAACTCAAGAGTTATCAGCACAAGAGATGATCATAATTATTAAATTCATGTCCTCAGGGAAATTTCTTGGCCTATATAAATTTACTCAAGGGTTTTAACATCATTAAATCACCTATTATTGCCAGTGCTTTGAATGTCTATATGAGTAATATTATAAGTGGATCCACTTCAAGGAAACATAAAAGAAGCTCTGATTATAGCTATTTCCAACATGGTTTTTCTATCACTGATTATAAGCCTCCTTTCCTTTATAATACAGAAGTCTAAAATAATTTCAAAAACTTTATCAATGTAACTAAATTAAACTTTCCATCTACTACTTTGCTCATCATGATATGTTCCTAATCAAAAAAGGTAAAAAG